CACCTGATCTGGACCCCCGATTTCTCCTCTCATATGTGATAAGGTCATTTGGAATTTGCATCACTGTCTCCCCTTTCTCCTCCTGCAACCCCACCTTATCACCCTCCTTTTTCTGAAAATGAGATTTGAGAACATCATTAAACAAACACATCGCCTCATCCACCCTGCCCTCAAAAGAAACACCCAGCAGAGGGCCCACTTCCAGACCCTTCTCCCTCACCCACTCCTCCTCAGTGTCATTCACCCCAACATTTGTCAAGGCACTGGTCCAATTCCCTCCGGGGGGGACAACAGCCAAAGGCACAGCCAAATTCACTGCTTGTTCCAAGTCTTCCCATGGAATCATGCCCGAATCCCCATTAAAAGAAGAACCTGCAGCTTCCTCCCAATCATCAAGAACAGAAGAAGAATGCGAACAAAACTGCGAAACAGGCTCCTCCTCAGTCAAAACTCCTCCTGAATCACAGAAAAAACCTTTCGAAGCCAAATGGTTTCGTAACTCCTTCAGCAGAATTGAGGCCGTATCATCATCAAGTTTCAATTTTACATCCCGACCTACACAAACTGTAACCCCCTCACACAAGCCATCACATCTCCGAGAAAAGCCAAGTCGATTCCCAGCAACACCATCCGGCCTGTCTGTCAAAACAAATTCCCTCTCACCCACCGAAGCTAAAGAGTGAGAAACATTAGTAGAACCACCCAACTCCAGTCCCAAAGAAGTGGTCGACCCCCCCAAGAAAGGAGAACACATCTTAGGAGAGGGAGAACTTGAAGGAACTGAAAACATACCGGAGTCAAAACCCATCTGCGAAGACGCCACCCATTTTTGCTTTTCCTTTCAAGACCATTTTTTGCGAAAAGCAGGAAGGATAACCTTTTTCTTAGGCAAACGATGTCTTAGCACCTGCTCCTTCACTCTCCGATCTCCCTTAATTCTCGCTCTCATCGAACCAGTTGCACAAGGAGCCAAGGCATCTCCTGAGACATCTCCTAATGAAGACAAGGGCTCGAAACTGTTAGACCGCAACCCAGATCCACAGTTCTGTCCAACCTTAACCCCCAAATCCTCATCAACATAAGTTTCTTTAGAATAGTGGACGCTCGGCCCACTAACAGAAAAAACTTTAGGAGAATGGACGCTCGGCCCACCAACAGTAGCTTCTTTAGAAGATTGGGTACACTGTCCACCAACAGACAATTCTTTAGAGTAAATGGGACACGGCCCGCCATCCACAATACCAGAAATAGGCCTCTTATAAACTGAAGGAGGTCTTTTAGGCCCAATAAGGAGTCCAGTAGGCTTAGGCAAAACATTTGAAGAAACGAAAGCCCTGGAACCAAGCCCACCATTCAGCCCAGCAGAGTTAGAATTTGAAATGATCGTGGGAATAGCTGTTCTCCACTAGGAACGTATAGGGCCTGAGCGCCAACCACATGGACAATAAGGAAACCACCCCCTCCCACGCGCCTGAAAGGAGTGAAGAACACCGCGTCGTCTTGAATGATCCCGTTGCTGCATAAAAGGCCGACGACCATTTCCGACGAGACCTCCACCCCTCTGCAACGTCTGAAACCCTTCTTGCCGTCGGTGATTCTGAAAGGCAAGGAGCCCTTCCTTCCGGTTCTGCTTCTGATTGAAAATCCGTTTAAAGCATTCGGAATTACGTATCCATAGCGCATCTCTCCATTCTTCCCACCTCTGAAAATCAGCCATTCCTTTTTTCCCCATGGATTCCCACCGTAACCATTCTTTCTCCTTGAGCAAGTGCGAACCATCACCGCCTTCCAAGCTATCAGTCGTGGGGACAAGCTCGGGAGGCTTCTCCTCCCAAATAAACACTTTATAGCAAAACTGTTCATCGTGAATGAATACAAACAGAGGGCAACTTCGACCATCAGAGACGGTGATGCGAACTCGTTCAGCATCCAAAGCTTCATCAGCATCCACCCAAATAAACCCACCACAAAGATCGCCGACTGTCACGAACAGAGCATGACTCCAAAGGTGGAGAGGAAGACCGTACAGCGTTACCTTCTTCAGCCCCTTCTCTTTCAACTCATCCGAGCACCCTACCCGAAAGCTCCAAGCCTCCAAACACAGAGATGCCGTTCCCCAGTCACGGCGACCCCCTTTGAGAACACGAGAGGCTTCGGTCGAGGAGGGGAACCGGAAAAGCAGTAAGGAATCCGGCAGAGTCGAAACCGTTACACCTGAGGATACCTTCCAAGTACGCGAGGCCCAAGCTGCGATCTGAGCCCCATCACCCACTTCCTTATCAAATTTCCCAACCAGACACCAACCGAAGATCATCTCTTCTTCTTCGAACCGAATCATCATCCAAAAATATCGATGGGCCACGATACGGATTTGCAGATCTAGCAGATCCACGAGTTCCTCCGAGGATTTACAGTTTCTCCCTAGAACCCAACAAAAAAGGGTACTTATAATGGAGAACTTCAACGACCAATAGGATTTGTTACCCACTTCCTTGGGTAACAAATCCTATTGGTCGTTGAAGTTCTCCATTATAAGTACCCTTTTTTGTTGGGTTCTAGGGAGATACTGTAAATTCTCGGAGGAACTCATAGATTTTTTGGACTCGTTGAGGGTTTAAAGGCTCTATTTGGCCTTGTGTAGCTTTTGAGGAATATGTTCCCCTTTTGAACGTTTTTTATACAATCTTTACTTATCAAAACAAGAAGAGGGAATCTACCGTGGTAAATAACAAATTTGGATATATGCCAATAAGATCTAAAATGGAGGCTATTTACTTAATACGACAATTAGTTAAGGATTATTGGAATAAACAAAAAGATCAACATATGAGTTTATACTTAGAAAAAGCATATGATAGAGTACCAAGTACCAAGATATATAGTTGAGTGACAGAGGAAAAAAATCCCTATAAGAAGTTGGTTAAAGATTATTCAGGATATACATAGGAATACAAAGACATGAGTTCGTTCTATATGTGGCGAGAGTCGCGACACTAGTGATTTTCTACAAACGTAACATTGAACCAAGGATAGTACTAAGTAATGTTTTTATTTACAATAATTTTAGATGAACTAACAACTTCAAATACATAACAAAGAGTTCATGGTGAGGAGAAGCAAATTACTATTAAGGAGGAGAATCCTACAAAACCTGAGGAGGTGCACTTTTCTCGTGGGAGATTGGATAGGGAGGACTTGCAAAAACATGCACGTTGTTCCAAAGGTAAGGAGGATAGGAATAACACCCATATTCCCCCAGGTTAATGGCAATCTCGAGCTTCTACTCCAACTCCAACATCATTACCCTTACATACTTTGTTAGGTGACGAGTCTACTATTTATAAAGCAATAATTGACATATGTAAAGCAAAATTGGTTACCAAAGGACTAATTAAGACAAATTATATAGATTATAAGGAGACATTTGCGTCAATCACGAAGATGAATGCCATCCGAGTCTTCTCTACTGCGCTATCAACTATGGCTCGGGTTTCAATAGGTGAATGTGAAGAATGCATTCCTGCATAGAGATTTAGAGGAAGAGGAGGATTTCTTCTTTAATAACTGAACTGAAGGTGCGTAAATTAAAAAGGTCTGTTTACTAGCTGAAGCAATCTCCAAGTGTGTGCTTTAAAATATTTCATATGGTTATGTAAAATTTGGATACAAAAAGGTCACGTAGATCATACATGTACATCAAGTGAACAAGGGGCAAGACCACAGTTCTTATTGTTTATGTTGATGACATAGTAGTGACTTGTGTAACTCGTGATGATACTAAGGAAGTATATCGCTTGAAAGCTCATCTAGCTAGGGAGTTTGAAACCCACTTGGGTAATTTGTACTATATTCTTGGTGATTGAGGTTGCTAGATCTAACAAGGGTATTTTCATCTCCCAAAGGAAGTACATTATTGATCCCTTGAAAAAGAATGGCGCTAGAATGGAAACCAATAGATGCACCTACCGAGGCGGCTAGGTTAAGCATCAATTTGAAGGTGGTATAGGCAACCAAGTAGATAAAGAGATCAGAGACTTGTTGAAAGGCTTATATTATCTCTCATATGCGTTCAGATTTAGCCTATGCAATAGTTGTTCCCAACCAATTTATGAATGATCCTTGCAACACTCACTAGGAGGGTTGTCTATCGTATTTGGAGATACCTAAGGTCTGCTCCAAGGAAAGGAAATTTTTTTTTTTTTTTCCTTAATCATGGTCATCTAAAGCTAGAAGCCTCTAAAGATGCTGACTGGGTAGGTTCAAATGATGATAGGTGGTCTAGTTCAAGTTACTGCACCTTTATTAGTGGTAATATAGTCACTTGGTGAACTAAGAAACAATAAGTGGTGACTAGATCTAACGTAGAAGCTGAATACTGAGCTATAGCACATGGAATATATAAGCTTACATGGCTTCAGACCTTGATGAGTGATCTGGGATTCAGTAGTAATATTCAGTGATGGTGGACCCATGAGGTTATGCGATCATAAGGTGGCTATCAACATTGCTTATAATCCAGTTCAACATGACAGGACAAAACATAGTGAGATTAACAGGTATTTCATCAAGGACAAGCTCAATGATGGCATGATTTCTATCCCTTTTGCAAAGCCTGAGGGACAACTAGTAATGTTTTTACCAAGGGTGGTTCTGGGGGACAACTAGTTAATGTTTTTACCAAGGGTCTTGGTTCTGGTTCTTTAATGATATAAATATGGGCATAGAGATGAGAAACTGCTCTCTCTCTCTCTCTCTCAAACCCTAGTTTCAACAATTTTATTTTCCAAGTGTATTCATGCTTCTCAGCCTGCCCATGTGGTTCTTACATGGCAAGAGGTGGGACTCCATACATACAGGATGCCTTCCCTGAAACTGAGCCACAGCTCCTTATTAACAATGAAAAGGCTCAAAGAGTATAAAGCTTTTATCATATTTGCCCACGCAACTAGAGGGAAAATTTTAATCAAATAAACTCCTTTAGTTTTAGTTTTGTAACACACCTTCACCAGTCAAGCCCAGTCTTTGAACAACAGCTTTCACACTTGAAGACAACTCTTGAACTGCTTCTAGCAAGATCTTATTTGCAACTTGATCACCTGCCTCTGCACAAGACACCACAACTGGAACAAGAGCTGCAATTCGAGCCCAAGATGGATCTGCATAGGTCCACCTAAATTCAAATAAAAGAAACATTTGTAGTTCATAATCCTTCTTTAAATTCATTATAACCTATCATGTTAAGGGTAATGTTGTATATAGTCATTACAAAGAAAGATGCTCAAAAAAATGGAATGTTTCATTAAAAAATTAATTCAAGAAAGAAAATTAGTTTAGTAAAATCTATCTCAAAAAACAATAGCACCTAGCGCAGCTCTATACACAAAAATGTGGTGTTCAGAGGTGAAATAGAGAGTGAAAAAATTCAAATGGTAAAAATGTGTAAAATTAGTTCACCAATTGTGAACAAAGGTGCTTCCACATGCATTCAAATTTTTATGAAATCTCCCAAGTAGAACATATAACACCAGACTAATTCCAGCATAATAAATGAATAATAAATGCAAAAGCATAGAGAAATCCAGCATAAAAAACAGACTTTATCTTTTGTCCTAAATTTTGACCATGCTGAATAATTAAATTCCCTAAAAAACAGTCATTACTTGATCCGTATAAACTGTGGATTTTCTTTGCTTGTGCGTACAAAGAATTGCCTACCTGGTCCCCAAATTAATGAAATATAACCTTCCCACAATGTATATTTATACATGTAATGTCTGTTCATATGGGGCTGCACAAACTAAGTTCCAAAAGAACTTTTAGTAACTGTAGGATTATATGTGATCATGATAGTCACAGGAAATTGACTAAATACCCGATGAGTTCATCTGGAGAAGAAAGTTCAAGTGTCTGTAAAATTCTATGCGTAAGACTTGTACGCAGACCTCGACCGTCATGAGCCCTTATTACTGCAGTCAATGCCTGTGCACCGATTCCATATCCACTACAGGTAAACAAAAAAATATTTTCCAAGTTCATATAAAATTGCCAAAAAGGAAACGAAAAAAAATAAAGAAATTCTAGCATATATGAATGCATCAATAGAACTCATAATGGTCATATCTCAGCTAAATGGAGAGATTAGAAGATGGATAATGCAAAATAAGTTCATTGAATTTAGCTTATAGTAAAACTAATTAGAACATCAGCTCAAAATGGTATTTGCTTTACTTGATTTATATATTACTGAATTGCTTGATTATGCCGCTTAAATTAAAATCTGGTTAAACTAAAGGAGACGAATGCCCTATTGAACCACATCGCCGCCGCCACCCCGCGCATCTTTTTCTTCTAGGTCTATTTTGACTGTGAATTCATTAATGGGTTTCTGACCGTGTCACTCTCAAAATACCATCTAGTAATTAGGCACGGATAGAACAGAAATGACATGCATGTCATAGAGAGAGAGGGAGAGAGCAACAACCATAAATCATAATTGTCATAATTGTTGTTTGGTATATTTGGCATCTTTACACGTTCCTCTTTATAATTATCTTCTTCATGCTTCCTCACCTAGGATTTTTAGGGTTCAAGTACCTGTTGGGCATCAATGTGTGTGTGGATGTGAGGTGGGTCCCCATCACCCTCTGATTCCCCCACAAAACAAAAATAAAAAATAAAAATAATGAAGAAGAAATACCTACCAAACTTTTGATTCTTCTAGATATATTTATGCTTTTTTCGGTAGGAAGAAAGGAAGAAGAGTGGAGGGAAAATAGGAAGGAAGGAACAAACTTCCTTCATTCAGTAGAGAGGAGACAAGGGGAGAAAGGATAATAGGAGGGATGAGTCATCCTCCTTTACAAATTTTCATCCCTCCAAATATGGACAGAAGAGAGGAGGGAAGACAATTGGTGCTATTATGGAAGTTTTGAATTATAATACAATTCTAAATTATACAACTTTTAAATTACAATATTGTCCTCTATAAATTATAATATTATAGATATTGATGGGTATAATTGTAATAACAATTTAAAACTCTCTTTCCTCTTCTTCTTTTTCCTAGTTGATACTCACACACACCCCTTCAAGGAATTGTTTGCACTTCTCTTAATGAACGAAATAAATTGTGAGCTTATTCTCTTCTCTTCCATCGAACAGAACAAAAAGATGGAAGGACATAACTTCTTCTCTAGGGATGTTTCATCCATCCCTTCTTCTCTCCCTTCCATCCAAATTTTTTCTTTCCTAAGGAACGAAGCATTAAGCTTATACATGCTGCAACATCATTATGAATTTTAATCAGTTATAAATGCTGTTGCAAGAAGATGTTGGTTGAAAAAGGATTATTAGTTGAACAAACTTAGCTTTTTCCAAATGCTTAACATACATAGATTAATATGGCCATCACAGCCTCTTTTAATGTTTTGCATGATTTTATGCAACAGTTTGTGGGGAGAGAGAGCACTTTTTCTTCATGCACGTGGTGTGGAGAACAAACCATAACTATTATATAGCATATACCTTCCCCAATCACCCAAGACAGGTCCTGCACCAGCAGCTCGCGCTTCTCTGCCATCTTCCGTAAATCCATAAGCGATGGTTCCCGTACCAGCAATTAGAACACATCCATGAAGCTTTCCCATTGTTCCACTTGCCAGAGCAGCCACAGCGTCATTATGAACAAATAGCTTAACGTGGCTTGGGAATATGTCTCTGAGTACATAAAGCCAAAGCTCAGTATTGAATTAATACAATATTGATTAGATAGGAATATGAGAACCAGACATATAGAAAGGGGAAAGTACTTTGGCATTAGTGACAATAAAAATTAAATTGATATTGTGAGAGTAGCAGTATACAGGAAAAGTAAGCTATCTATGATATAGAACAAGGTCTTGCTGCATAAGTATTTAGGGAGAGAACATTCAGCTACCCAGGTTTGCAATAGAGATGGAAATACAAAAATTTAATGCGGTGGAACTGCTCCTACTTTCTCTAAAGGAACGAATATGGTTCAGAAACAAGTGTAGGGTGCGGATGTTATATATGTCACCAGCACTGAACACATCACCCCAAGTCCCAACCACAAATCGACATTTTTAACAAAACACTTGCCATATTTTATATGTTTTAGATTTTATTAAGGTATTAGAGACCCAGGTGTGACCCAAAATAAGTACCATATAAATATAATCTTCAATTTTAGTCCTAATTCGGATGATATTACTTAAAATAATAAAAATGAAACAGGGTTGAACAATATAATATTGTTTTGGATAGAAGTCCAAAAATCAAGAGGGTTTAAAATAAAAAGTAAATAGGCTAGCCCAATGCACGAGACTCCTACTATTATGGGGTCTTTAGAGGGTCAGATGTACGCAATCTTACCTCAACATGCAGAGAGGGGCTGTTTCCAATTTCGAACTCATGACTTCTAAGTCACAAGGTTGCAACCATATCATTGCACTAATGCCGGCCCTCGTTTAAAATAAAAAATAATAATGTTAAAATTTGGATGCGGAAATAAGAAATGCAAATAGGAAAAGGAAAGAGAGAAGCACAAGCATATACATGGTTTGCCACTAAGACCTACATCCATGGACAAAGAGCCACTAAGGGCTACATTTCTATTATTCAGATCTATGTTTTTGTTTCAGTACAAAGGGCCTATACAAAGGCATGGTAAAGATAAGAAAATATGGAAGATATACAATAGTCAAAGGAGGCACTGTGATTCCACCGTTATATAGAAATATTTATAATTGGAAGAAAATACGAAATTACCCGGATCACAGTGATTAGTGGAGGATTTTGCTCCACAATTATATTAATATTTATATATTTCAACACTCCCCCTCAAGTTGGAGCATGAATATCATGAATGCCTAACTTACCAAAGAAACGCCTCGAAAGATGATGAGGTGTCCGGAACAAAGCTAGGAATTGACCAAATCTTGCCGGGGAAAATGACCAGATCTTGCCGGGGAAAATAAACTAGAACTCACCAGCGAAAACGGCTGGAACCACGCAGGGGAAAACGGCCCGAACTAAGCCAGAAAAGCAGGAACAACGCCGGGAAATGGGCCGGAACTATGCCGGGAAATGGACCGGAACTATGCTGGGAAATGGAATGTGAAGAATTGTTGAAAAAGAGATATTTGGTTTTAATAAGACCATATTTTAGAGGATATGATAGGCGTGTAAATATAGATAGTCAATGACCAGATTTTAGGGGATATTTTAGTGTATAACCTATAGCTTCTATTAGTGCACAGCCTGTAGCTTCTGTTAGTATACAGCCTGTAATTACAGCCTGTAGTTTGCTGTCACAGCTTGTAGTCAGCTTGTAGTTTCCTTTTTTTAGCCCCTTGTATGTCCTATTTAACTAAAGCATTGTAAACCATTCAAAGGAAGGCAATATACAGATTTTCTTTCAATCTTGAAATCGCCTATTTGGTATCAGAGCATCTTACCGATTCTTCTGAAAAAAAAACCCCTAGCTGTTCCTTTTTTTTTTCTCTTCCAAACAACTCTAATCACCATGTCTGATGACATACCTGAGTCCAAGACCAAGACCTTTGAGTCCCAAGTCCAAAACTCTCAGACACACTCGGTCCAGATTACCACAATTCGGCTAAATGGTGAAAACTTCCTTCGCTGGTCCCAGTCCGTGCGGATGTATATCCGAGGCAGAGGCAAAATCAGCTACCTAACAGGAGAAAAGAAGGAACCAAAACCTGAAGATCCATCCTACTCGACCTGGGATGCAGAGAATTCGATGGTGATGACCTGGTTGGTGAATTCTATGGAGGAGGACATCAGTTCTAATTATATGTGTTACCACACAGCAAAAGAACTTTGGGACAATGTCAACCAAATGTATTCAGACCTAGGAAATCAGTCTCAAGTCTATGAACTAACGCTGAAACTCGGAGAGATCCGTCAAGGAGATAACAGTGTTACAAAATATTTCAACTCTCTGAAACGTTTGTGGCAGGACCTTGATTTGTTCAACGATTATGAGTGGAAATCGCCTGAAGATTGCAACCATTACAAAAAGAAGGTGGAAGACAACCGCATCTTCAAGTTTCTCATTGGACTCAATGTCGAGTTTGATGAAGTGAGAGGCAGAATAATTGGACGACAACCCTTGCCTTTAATCGGTGAAGTCTTCTCCGAGGTTCGAAGAGAGGAAAGTCGCAGGCTGGTCATGCTTGGAAAAAAGTTATCAAATGGTGCTGTTGAGACCTCTGCCTTGGTCGCATCTGAAGCGAATATTGGCAGGAAATATAATGAAAAGCCCCGTCTTTGGTGTGACCACTGCAACAAGCCTCACCATACCCGTGAAACCTGCTGGAAAATTCATGGTAAACCAGCGAATTGGAAGAGTAAGCAGGAAGGCAGATTCAACCAGGAAGGCAGATTCAACCGAGCCCCATCAGCTCATGAAGCCGAGGCACTTCCCTTCAGCAAAGAACAGATGGATCATCTTCTAAAATTGCTGAAATTCAATTCCTCATCTGGTACTCCTAATGTTTCTCTTGCTCAAACAGGTAACAACCCGAAGGCCTTATCTTGTCGTTCAAATTCCAGTGTTACCCCATGGATCATTGATTCAGGGGCTTCTGACCATATGACAAGTTGTTCTCATTTATTTCAAACTTATTCACCCTGTTCTGGCTCTGAAAAAAAAATCAGAATAGCTGATGGTTCTTATTCTCCTATTGCAGGCAAAGGTTTAGTGAAACTTTCAAAAATTATTGATCTTAAGTCTGTCCTTCATGTCCCTAAGCTTGCTTGTAACCTTTTATCAGTTAGTAAATTGTCCAAAGACTCTAATTGTCGTGTTATCTTTTTTGAATCCTATTGTGAATTTCAGGACCAGAGCTTGGGGAAGACGATTGGCAGTGCTAAGATGATAGATGGTCTCTACTATTTTGAAGATGATATTTCAAGTAATAAAAAGGCTCAAGGTTTGAGTAGTTTTCGTTCTATCCCTGTTAGAGAACAAATAATGCTATGGCATTTTAGACTAGGGCATCCTAGTTTCCCTTATCTTAAAAAATTATTTCCTTATTTGTTTAAAGGATTGGATTGTTCATCTTTTTATTGTGAGAATTGTTTTTTATCAAAGAGTCATCGTACTACGTATTCTCCTAAACCTTACCAAACATCAAAACCATTTTATTTAATCCATAGCGATGTTTGGGGGCCTTCTAGGATCACAACTCTTTCTGGAAAAAAATGGTTTGTGACTTTTATTGATGATCATACACGTTTGTGTTGGGTGTATTTAATGAATGAAAAATCTGAAGTTGAAAAATTATTCAAGGATTTTTATATGATGATTGAAAATCAATTTCAAACAAAAATTGGCATTCTTCATACTGATAACGGCACCGAATACTTTAATGAAGTGTTAGGAAGTTTTTTAACAGAAAAAGGAATTTTTCACCAATCCACTTGTGTTGACACACCCCAACAAAACGGAATTGCTGAAAGAAAGAATAAACATTTACTTGAAGTTTCTCGTGCCATCATGTTTTCAATGAATGTTCCTAAGTATTTGTGGGGTGAAGCCGTTTTAACAGCAACATATTTGATTAACAGGATGCCTACTCGTGTTCTTAACTATTTTACACCCCTTGAAAGCCTTAAAAAATCTTTTCCTGAAACTCGGATTTATTCAAACCTGCCTTTGAAAGTATTTGGGTGCACTGTCTTTGTCCATTTACCTAGTAGACTTCGATCTAAATTGGATCCTCGGGCTGAAAAATGTGTATTTGTTGGGTATGCCCCGAATAAAAAGGGGTACAAATGCTTCAATCCGACAACAAAAAAAATGTTTATCAGTATGGATGTTTTTTTTTCTAGAAAATCATCCTTATTTTCAGAAAACTTTTCTTCAGGGGGAGAAAGAGAGTGAAGAAAATTTTTGGGAGATTTCTACTAATATTCCCTTACCTAAAACTATTGTCTCACACTTTACTCCAAACACTGATCTTTTTAAACAAGAAAATGATGTTCTAGAATCAGGAAACCCGGGGCCTCCTAGTCCTAATCTGCCGAGCCTTACTGTATCTCCAACAGGGGGAGAAATCCTACCAACGGTTCCAAAAAAACCGAATCCTGAGCTTCTGGTTTATAACAGAAAAAAGACTCATCAAAAGAGTAGAGAGCCTACTATTGTACCTGAGCAAGGCCAATCAGAGGTCCCGAGCAATGACTCCCTGAACACTCAAGGTACTCTAAATCCTAACTTGTCTACAGTTGTCCCTACTATTTCTAATCGTACAGAGACACCTAGCCAAGTTCCTGTAGACCTTGATATCCCTATAGCTGTTAGAAAAGGAATCCGAACCTGTACCCAGCATCCCATTGCCAAATACTTGTCTTATGATAAACTTTCCCATAAACATAGGGCCTTTACTTCAAATATTTCTCACTTGTTTGTTCCAAGAAACATTCAGGAAGCACTAGATGATCCGAATTGGAAATCAGCAGTGTTAGAGGAGATGAATGCTCTTAAAAGGAGTGGAACGTGGGAAATAGTTGACTTACCCAAAGGAAAGAAAACTGTTGGGTGTAAATGGGTTTTCACTATTAAGTGTAAAGCTGATGGTAGTGTGGAAAGGTACAAGGCAAGACTTGTGGTGAAAGGTTTTACGCAAACGTACGGCATTGATTACCAAGAGACGTTTGCTCCTGTAGCAAAAATAAATTCTATCCGAGTCTTATTGTCGTTGGCAGTCAATTCTAATTGGCCATTACATCAATTGGACATAAAAAATGCCTTTTTAAATGGAGACTTGGAAGAAGAAGTGTTTATGAGCTTGCCACCTGGGTTCGAAGGAAAACACAGTCAGAGCAAAGTCTGTAAACTCAAAAAATCCCTGTACGGTTTGAAACAGTCTCCAAGAGCGTGGTTTGAACGTTTTGGAAAGGCTGTGAAGAGTCATGGGTATCATCAGAGTCAGGCAGACCATACCATGTTCTACAAACACGGTGAGGAAGGGAAAATTGCCATTTTAATTGTGTATGTGGATGATATAATTTTGACATGTGATGACATTGAAGAGTTGACCAGACTGAAGAAGAAACTTGCTAAAGATTTTGAAGTCAAAGATCTGGGAGCATTAAAATACTTCCTTGGAATGGAATTTGCCAAGTCAAGAGAAGGAATTTTCGTGAATCAACGAAAATATGTACTTGATTTGCTTAATGAGACAGGACTACTCGGGTGTAAAGCTGCTGACACTCCAATTGAAGTCAACCTGAAGTTAGAAGCTGCCGAACCCGAGAATATGGTTGATCGTGAAAGATATCAGAGATTGGTGGGAAGACTAATTTACTTATCTCACACACGCCCAGATATAGCATTTGCAGTCAGTATGGTGAGTCAGTTCATGCACTCTCCTGGACAGGAACACTTTGAAGCAGTGTACAGGATTCTGAGGTACTTAAAGGGCTCACCAGGTAAAGGACTTATGTTCAAGAAACAAGGTCATTTACAAGTGGAGGTGTACACAGATGCTGATTGGGCAGGCAGTATAGTTGATAGACGATCTACCTCAGGATATTGCACCTTCGTTGGAGGAAACTTAGTCACGTGGCGAAGCAAGAAACAAAATGTAGTAGCGAGGAGTAGTGCAGAAGCCGAGTTCAGAGCACTCGCCCATGGGATTTGCGAAGCTATATGGTTAAAAAGACTCCTTGAAGATTTGAAGGTTATTGTTTCTCCTCCAATGAGAGTCTACTGTGACAACAAAGCTGCCATTTCAATTGCTCATAATCCAGTCCTCCACGACAGAACCAAACATGTGGAAGTTGACAAACACTTTATCAAGGAAAAGCTTGACTGTGGTATGATTTGCATTCCTTATGTCTCTACTACTGAACAAGCTGCAGACATCCTTACCAAAGGACTACACAAGAAACAGTTTGAAGTTTTAAGAAGCAAGCTAGCTATGGAAGACATCTACAAGCCAGCTTGAGGGGGAGTGTTGAAAAAGAGATATTTGGTTTTAATAAGACCATATTTTAGGGGATATGATAGGCGTGTAAATATAGATAGTCAATGACCAGATTTTAGGGGATATTTTAGTGTATAACCTATAGCTTCTATTAGTGCACAGCCTGTAGCTTCTGTTAGTATACAGCCTGTAATTACAGCCTGTAGTTTGCTGTCACAGCTTGTAGTCAGCTTGTAGTTTCCTTTTTTTAGCCCCTTGTATGTCCTATTTAACTAAAGCATTGTAAACCATTCAAAGGAAGGCAATATACATATTTTCTTTCAATCTTGAAATCGCCTATTAGAATGAAGACATAGAGAATATGCTCCATGATAATAATACCAATACTCTACCTCAAATTATAGATAGGATTACAAGAACATCTAGGCTCTGATACCATGTTAAAATTTGGATGTGGAAATAAAAAATGCAAATAGGAAAAGGGAAGAGAGAAACACGGACATATGCATGGTTTGGCACTAAGGCCTACATCCATGGACAAAGAGCCACTAAGGACTACATTTATATTATTCAGATCTATGTTTTGTTTCAGTACAAAGAGACTATATACAGACATGGTAAAGATAAGAAAATATGGAAAGTGTACAATAGTCAAAGGAGGCCCCGTGATTGGTGGAGGATTTTGCTCCACTGTTATATAGAAATATTTATAGTTGGAAGAAAATAGGAAATTGCCCGGATCACCGTGATTGGTGGAGGATTTTGCTTCACAATTATATAGAAATATTTATATATTTCAACACTCCCCCTCAAGATGGAGCGTGAATATCATGAATGCCCAACTTGCCAAAGAAACGCCTCGAAAGATGATGAGAAGGTGTCCAGAACTAAGCTAGGAAAAGCCTATACAATGCCGGGAAATGGAATGTGAAGAGTGAAGACATAGAGAATATGCTCTATGATAATAATTCCAATACTCCCCCTCAAATTATAGATGGGATTACAAGAACATCTAGGCTTTGATACTATGCTAAAATTTGGATGCGGAAATAAGAAATGCAAATAGGAAAAGGGAAGAGAGAAACACAGACATATACATGGTTCGGCACTAAGGCCTACATCCATGGACAAAGAGCCACTAAGGGCTACATTTCTATTATTCAGATCTATGTTTTGTTTCAGTACAAAGAGCCTAAATATAGGCATGGTAAAAATAAGAAAATATGGAAGGTGTACAATAGTCAAAGGAGGCACCGTGATTGGTGGAGGATTTTGCTCCACTGTTATATGGAAATATTTATATATTTCAACAAATAAATATATAAAATGTAACTTTAGTATAAATAGGCTACAAAATGGGAACATAATGAAGATCGAAGGTCAAGGATGTCTTTGGGCTTTTGCTTTTGCTTTACCGTTAGGAGATTGTGGGGGTGGGCTTGGATTCCTGCGTTTGGGTCCTTTTTATGCAAGGGAGATTTGGTGTGCGGTCTTTTTATAGGGTCCTCACAGATGATCCAGGATCTTCTTTTCCATGGAAGGCTGTGTGGCGGTCCAAGGCTCCTCCCAAGGTGGCTTTTTTTGCATGGATGGTTGTTCTAGGGGAAATCCTTACCTTGGACAATCTGAGAAGGAGGAAACAAACTGTGGTTAATTGGTGTTGAATGTGAAAGAGAGACGAGGAGACGGTTGATCAGCTTTTGCTCCATTGTCCTATAGCCCAAGATTGTTGGGGCCTTTTGTTGAGTTTGTTTGGGGTCCATTGGGTTATGCCTAGGTCCTCTAGGGGTTTGATTGAGGCTTGGAGAGGTTGTCTAGTGGATGCCAAAGCCTGTGACTTTTAAAGGATAACACCTCTGTGTGTTTGGTGGTGCTTATGGACAGAAAGGAATAGGAGATCTTTTGATGGTGAAGAGACTCCTATGGGAGCGCTGAAGTTCTTTATTCTTTTTTCTCTTTTTTTGTTGGATTTTGGGGAGAAATTGTAAATATATGGGGGAAATTGTAGAATTTTTGGACTCTTTGAGAGTTTAGTGGACATTTTGGCTTTGTGTAGTTCTCTGAGTTGTGTTCCCCTTTGAACGCTTTCTAATACAATCTTAATTATCACCAAAAAAAAAAAAAAAGTAAGTAGTGTCATGCTATCAACCTGGGTTATTGCCATCCCCAGCCACCACAACTAGGCCAGGTTTGGCTACTCAGTGTATCTTCTTCTGTCACTCATGGAAGTTAAACATTCCAAATCATTTTTATGAACATTCTTAGGAGTCATTGCTTCTACAGTGGCAAAAAAATGAGGACGTCTATTCGAGTTTCAAGGCAGTCACTTTGCACAATAATACCAAATGTTAGGTTTGTACACTGTCCACCCACCCAAAACCCTCGTTTATCAAAGTCTGTACTAGGTAATGGCTTTTATTTCTAAACATTATTATATGGGAGAAGAAAAACAATAGCACTCATGCATGACTACATAAAGAAGTGAAAACCATAACCATTAAGAGATGAAAAGGGCTGAAATGGTTATTAAACGCATCACAGATATTGGAGTTGCAAGCTATAATAAATACTAAATGGTAAGTAGTAAAGCTATGTGAGTTTATTGTGCCTAATAAGAATTCCTAGTTATCACTAACATAATTAAGATAGTTTACAGCATCATTGCCAAAAAAAATCTGAACCTTCGAAAGAAGCTCTTAATCAGTTAACTTATCAATCGGGTTAATAACTGATAATATACAAGTATATCAAATGATTAAAAAATCAACGAAATGCACTGATATTATGAATGAAGACCAAGTGGTCCAAGTTATTTGAGAAATTCATTAACCACTCCACAAAATTTGACATATCACGAAAAAGAACCTGTTCGTTCCTAATGTAAACCAAAATGTGCATCTATAAGTGTGTTGTTCTTTACATTTTGTCAACTTCACGACTTTTCAGCATTAGTACACCACTCAGAATTATCTCTTGAGGCAGTATTTCCTGGCCCCCAAATCTCTTTGTTTTCTAGAGTCACGATTGCAGTAGCCAATCAGGAGCATGACTAGTTTTGTTACAAGAGCAAAATATTGTTTAGCGCAAAAGTTGGATGTATTTTAGAAGTATGAGGAAAAACAATGCAAATAGATCTAAGATAGCAAACCTAAGCCAATTTAATATTCTTTGTTGATCTGCTGGATGGTTGACACCGGATACAGATAAACAAACAGCTCGGACGGCAGATCGATTGGAATCAGACTTCGCAAGGGCATCTGCCATAACCTGCTCTAATGTCTCCTTTGCAGCAGTTTCTGTATAATAAAAAAAACTGAAAATTTTAATCTCCTTCGCAAGGTTCAAAAATAAGTTTTTCTTAACTAATAACTAAAGATCATATAGTACATCAAATATTGTTTTTTGATAAGTAAAATATTAGTTAATATAGTACATCAAATATTATGAAAACACAAGAAGATTTTATACTAAAATAAAGCTATTAATTTCCAATGCAAACCCACTATCTCTGGCACCCTAAGTGCAGAACTTTTTACTGTTGGTAACAAAGGAATGCACCATTCAACAATGCAGTTAATGACTTATTAACATTAACCTGAACCTGACTCTAAGAACTTAGTCTCACTGAGTTGGCAATTTTCATGACAAAAAATTAGCTCGAGTTGTAATTTTTCATATTATATTATGACTCAGTTTTGGACAAAAAGCTGTATTGGTTTACCTTTGGAAAGGTTCAATGGGATCAGACAGTGGTTGTAAAGGTTTTTCAGTCAAGGATTAAGGATGGTTTTATAACATTGATAAAAAATTAAAAACTAAATTTAGTTTTTCTTTTCCTCCCTTTGATAAGTAATATTTCATTAAAGGTGCTCAAAAGGGGAGCGCTCCCAAGAACATAAGCGAAAAGCAAAAACAGCCAACTATAATTTCAAGCTATCAACAAAATCTACAAAATCCCCACAGATTTACAATTTCGCCCATTTACCCAAACGAATAAAGAGCTCAGTATAATGTATTTGAGAGACCAAATAGAAGTCTCCTCTCCATCAAAGGATCTGTGTCATGTAATGTAACTCTTAAGGATTCAGTTTGACATTTTATTTTTAGATAAACCATGGATTCATAAGACTATACATGATTATGAAATGACATATTTATTTGATTAAAAAATATAGGAAGAAAGTAATCTCATTGGAAAACCAGCCGTGACAAATAATAAAGCAATAAAAGTCAATAGTCAAATTGTGTGTAAAGAATCTTAATGATTCGAAAAAATAAGTCGAACCAAAAATATTGATGATCGTAAGAAGATTCCAAACATTGACAGTGTTTCAGAGTATTAAAAAAGAAAGTTGTGGATAAGTTATTGAATTCCAATGTTACATTTTTTTTTATTCCTAATGGCAAGGAATAAAGCAAAAAAATGTTCATAAAGAAATTGAAGTCTAGGTCAAACCTTGTTTAATTCAGGCGATTGATATTCCAAGAAATGAAAATGTACATGTGCTGAATTTATTGGAGTTGAAAGATCAACTTTATTATAATATGTAACTTGGTTAAATTCATTAATGGATGGTAGAGGCCCTAACTACATTGTTTGGGTGTCCTCTCCTCAAGGGAGGTTTGAGATCCATTCCTTGTTTTATTGTCTTTCCAACTTGTATGGTTCTAGTTTCCCTTGGAAGATGATTTGGCGCTCGAAGGCCCCTCTCAGAGTAGCCTTTTTCGTTTGAACCGCAGTTTGGGGCAAGATTTTGATGATGGATAATCTGAGCAAGAGAAGACAAGTTACTATTGGTGTTGCATGTGCAAGAGGGATGGAAAGTTTGTGGGCCACCTCCTTTTGCATTGCCCCATGGTTTAGACTGTTGGAGCCTTATTTTTGGTTTGTTAGACGTCCAATGGGTTATGCCCCGGTCTTCAAGGGATATGATCGATGCTTGAAGAGGCTATTTTGTGGGAGCCCACGCTCGTAATTTTTTGGAGGGCAACCCCCCTTTCTGTTTGGTGGTGTGTTTGGAAGGAGCAGAATAGAAGATCTTTTGACAAGGAGGAATCTTCCATAGGGGCTTTGAAATTTATTATCTTTAGTATTCTTTTTAGGTGGGTCATGGGGAGAAATTGTAAATCTATAGAGGGATTGATTAGTTTTTGGGTTCCTTGGGTCTTTAGGTCCCCTTCTTTGGCTTCGGACCTTATATAGTTTCCAGGATGCGTTCCCCTTTTGAAGGCTTTCTAATATACTCTTACTTACAAAAAAATAAATAAAATAATAATAACAATAAAAATAAATAAATAAAATAATAGTTGATTACCTCCTACTCAAGGTCAAAGGAATTCCAAGCTACGCTTAAGGATATCTGAGTAATCTTCTTCTACAAGGGTAAAAAGGTAATTTAAGTAATTTAATACATTGATACATTCACCAAAATTAAGATTCATTGCATGCATTATTAGGGTTTCCAAGTTTCATGATTTGAACTTATTTAATTCCCTAAATTGTGTTGGAAATTTTTTTTTTCCCTAAATTGTTTCAAAACATGCATAAAAGGGTACTGGGAAACTTACGGTTTTTGAATTTTTTTTCCCACCTAAATGGAAACGGTTTTTGAATTTATGCAAGTTCTAAAATGGCAGTAGACTTCGATCTATAGAGGTTTTGATCGACGCTTACTAGAGCTTCATCGACTAGTATTTTGATGATCAAACCTTTGCAAAAAAGCAGTTTCTAAATTGAATTATAACTTTATTAACCCTAATCTGTATACTTTTATTTTGCCCATCTATATGATACCAGGCAGAATAACAGAACTAATAGAAAGACCATATTTTGTGAGTTCTGGAGGGCTTTAGTATCGTTTCTTTCGCATTCATCATTCGTACAACTGGTAATTATGATTCTAATCTGTGTTGACATCTTCTGCTGCGTAGTCAATAAGAATAACAAAATTGAAACAACACAAGAAACTAATCTAGCAAGAATGAGAATAGAATAAAAAGAAGAATAGTGTATTGCAGTTTCTGAATTATGATCAATGGTTAAAATGAAGTAATGTCACAATGAACACATAAATAAAGCATCAATAATAATAGCACAAGAAATTCATAGATATCGAAGAATTACATACCGCCGACACTGTTGTGATTGGAGCAACCCGCCTCGGCACGAGCAAGAACAGGGAGAGGGTGAGGGAGTGGGTCGGTAAAAGGGATGCATACGCAGACGGTGGAGGTGGTGCCACCGTCCAAACCCAGTATTACCTCTCGGCTCATCGCCACCGCCATTTCGTGCTCGAAGTCCCAAATCTCTCCGTTTCTGTAACGCTTCTTCATTGGTTCAGTCAGGCCTGTCTCTGTGTCTTACTGCTAGTTGGTAGAATTGATGGAAGGGCCGAATAGAGAGGACAAAAATATATACCCAGTATATATAGCAGAGCAACGCACTCAATCTCATATCATATATACATAATAATTTGTTGACTATAATTATCATCACATTTCGTAAAGAACTCGACATAATAAAATAAAGAGAGAGAGAGTGTGTGAGAAGGAGGAATAGATTCGGACGGCAAAAAGTGCCAAGCGCTAGTGGTTGATTGCTTAGAAATTAGAATTGACGAGTGTGGTGAATCTGTTTGATGGAGGACTCAACAATAAAAGAAAGCTCAAATTACTTGCCCCCGAATAAATAAATAATAGCTCAAATTACCAAAAAAAAAACCATAAATTTCTATTATGGGTCCACCATTACCAATTTTGGCCCAATATAACGTACGGGCCAATTTGTTAAACTAAATTACCCAATAAGTCTAGACGACCCATTTAAATTAATGAGGATAATTACATATATAATTAGTATTGAAATCATTATTACAAATAAATGGGATAATTATCAAGGGTCCGTGAAGCAAGTTACACTTCTATCCCTCCAAGAAATCTACAAACAGTGGTAGAAGGGTGGAGAATGGAAGTGTGAGGATGGGTGTCATTTTTTATTTTTACTTTTTGGATTTATTTTTATTTTATTTTATTTCTTTTTCATCTTCGAGTTGTGTGGGCCCAAGGCGGGGTCAAGACTCAAGTGCTTGGGGATAGTTCCCGATACTTCATTCATTCCATTGGGTCATATTTTATCTTCATAACATTGTAGGATTTATTTTGCACTTGTATGCAATTATATTATTTTCATTTGTGCGATTATCTTTTGAGATATTTTCATTTTGGACATTTGTGCGATTATCTTTTGAGATATTTTTATGTAGGGACTTTGGTGCAATTTGTGAAAATTGTGGTCATGTGTGGGGCTAGATGGATGACAAGTGTAGGGTGGAGATGTATGTGTGTGATAAAGGTAGTGTAAGACTAGGTGTTTGTGATATTTTTTACAAATATCTGACCTTTTCTCCTACACTTCATCTTCTTCCTCTTACCAAACCTCCATTGTTGCCAAGCTTTAAAACTTCATTTTCCTTCACATTCCACTCATGTTCTTGACTAGCCATAGGAGGGAGAAAGCTTGGGGACACCAAGGTCGTCATAACCCTTCCATCATTTTCAGAATCAGAACATTTTTCACTTTGGATTCTAGGTTTTGCTTTCCCTAGTGATGGAGGGGGTGTAGTATGGCTTTAACCTAATGGTTTCTTTGTGTTTTGGGGTGTGGTGTGTGTTATGCATGTATAGTGTGAGTTATGAGTATTTATGACTATGATTGTTGATGATTTAGTTTCCTAATAATGATATATATATATATATATATATATATATATATATATATATATATATTCATAAATGGGGGTTGTATATAAAAAGAAAAATAAATATTTACAAGCGCACAGAGGGCATACCCTCATAAAATGATGGAATTGATCTTAACATAATATAAAAAGAGAAAGATCAGAACCAAACAAAAAGAAAACAAAAATATAACAGTTGAAAAAATCTTAAATAACAACATTATAAATATCTAGAACTTCCAGTAAAATTTGCCTTGCAGTTTCCTAAGAAGTCCTAGATGAGTGACCATGAAGTCTTCTATTTCGTTCTTGCCAAATACTCTAAAGAGCAGCCACAAAAATAGTATGAAACATCTTACTAGATTGTTGAGAAAACCAGTGTATTAAATCTTCCAATGTGAATGAAGAAAAATCAACCCTCTATCCCATTGTATCATCCAACCATTTCCAGAAATTTAAAGCAAAGGAGCACTCCCCAAATAAATGATTTCTGGAATCAATATTGTGAAGACAAAGAGTGCACCTTGGAGCTAAATTCACATTCCTCCTCTGTAAATTAACCATAGAAGGAAGCCTATCTTGAAACACAAATACTCTATGAACCGACCACCGAGGCCTTGCTTTTCCCCAACATAACTTAGACCAATCCTCCTTAAGATAGGAAATTCTACACTTCTACCAAGCATGTTTGAAGGAGAAAGAACCTCCAGCTAAAAAAAAACGATCAGCTCTGTCATGAATAAGCAAAGTTTGAATATAGTCCTTAATAACCCTGAAATTATCAGCTTAAAGTATATCCAAATTCCAGCCTCCAGTATCTATTAGATTAGACAAAGAAGCTTCCCAAGAGAACCCAAGCCTTCTAACAATTCTATAACCAAATTTCTAAATTAATGTCTGACCTTCACACCAAGGATCTGTCAGAAGCTTAAAAACTTGCCCAGTGCCAATTGAGAAATTGACATTAAGAATCATGACAGTCCTAAGACTACAAATTCTTCCAGAGTATGGAATGTGATAGCTTAGGGACTGCATTCCAATATAAGGATTGAGAATAGTACCTATTCTTGAACCAAGGAACCCAAATCCTGTCTTTGCTTAAAAGATAATCCCAAGATAAGACACATTGAGAGGCTGTCTGCAAATCAAGAAGCTTACGAATACCTAGACCACCTTTAAATTTAGGACAACACATCAAATCCCAGCTCATAAGATGTAATTTCTTCTAATTATCACTACTTGTGATACCCCTCGTATCTGAGACACGGGTTGATCAGGCCTAGGCCCAAACCCGAGGGAATATCAAACAATTAATAATTTAGCGAACACAGAATACAAAACGAATTTAGGAAATAAACATTTAAGCTGAATGAAAACTAAAGTATATAATCCTTTTAAATTTTCAAAATCCCAAATAATAAATATTAATCCATCTCCAAAACCTCCAAGAGATACATCTCGGGAATCCATCCAGTGGACCCCTAATAATAAAACCAAACTAAAAAATAAATCTAGAAAGAATCCATAAATAAATCGTAGAGAAAGATCCTACGTCATCGGAAGAATGAGTAATCGTCTCTACTCAGCACGAACAAGATCGAGTCTGGAACTGACGTACACCTGAAAAATAGGAGTGGGTCAGGCCAACGAACAAGTTCTATCCTACTACAATCCAAGCAGAGACTCGATATGCATATACATACTAAATAGTTCACAATAGCTAATAATCCGTACATAAATATATTCACGCTACTAGACTCTCGCTAGACTATGAAGAGGGTCTCAACCTGAATAGAAGGCAGCATGCAAAGCGCACCTGAGTGGGCATGAGTACCTAAGCCTAAACAGGGTATACCTTAACCCTCACAGCCAGCTACGCATCCAATTGCATATATGCATCCTAACTGTCGACTCTGAGACTCAAGCTCATGTCGCGGTATCATAACAATATATCTAAATTCCATTCCTAACCATCCACAAGAAATCCAGTAAGTCGTTCGGCATATTCAACCGCACCGACTCATATATATATAAGGAGGATTTATTTAATAACCTGTACCCTTATTCTAAAATAGGTAGGACTTAGCAACTTTAGCTAATCCAAACCTAGTATGACACCGTCCCATACCGGTACATAAAATCCCTTCCATTCAACAGTTGATAAAACATCGACAATATAGATATTAATATCAACAATTCCATACTAAGCATATTAAGGTATCTTATCAAACATGCTTAAATATAACCAACAGTTGATAAGGAACTGACAATATAAATATCAGTATCAACAATTCTAACCTAAGCAAATTAAAGTATATTAACAAACATGCTTAAGTAAACCAACATAACAACCCTTATTTGATAACACAGGACTGTGTCTGTAAATACAAGTCTATTCCCAGTATCCATAATTAACAGAGCCTAAATAAAGATTGTATCACTTAATTCCAGAGCATGCATAATCAATCTAGGCAATTGATCATATTTTTAATTTCCTGTCCAACAAATTGATGTACTAAATGTTACAATTTAATCATCAATTAATCTTTAGCAAAATACAGATTTAAACCAATAATTTTAAGTCTTTAATGTGTTTTATACTTCATTTAAGAACCCCCCATCAAATTTCAGAATTGCCTTTTAGCCCCTAGAGAAACAAAAATCCTAAAATTTCACGTACTGGACAAATACAAAAGGTTGAGGGGGCTCCAATTTAAGGTAGAGGAGGCTCTACTTGGGTAGAGGGGGCTCCAATTTTAAGTAGAGGAGGCTCCACTCTTCTCAGCCTCCCTGTAACGACCTGGTCATCTGCCTTCCTTTCCTTTTTCCTGAAATTTTACGAATGAATTTTTTTCGTTTAATTTTCTTTTCTGAGCTCTGTTTCGTGTCGCTTAGTGTCATCTCAAGTGCTCGGAATTGGTTCCTGAGACTCTTTTCCGTGGATTGACAACTTCCTTTGAGAACCGAGTCATTTTCACATTTTTCGTTTTTTGACACTATGCGTTATTTCGTTCTTTTCCCTATTCTGTCTTATCTTTATTTGTCAGTTTTTGGCACAATCTCACTTCTCATGCTCGGAGTTGGTTTTTGACTTCACGTGCCTTCATCTTGAGTGCTTTCCTCGAAATACGTATCTTTACTTTTCCAAGAAAGTACTCTGATTACTCCCGGTTCCCACAGGGGCATGGATGCACAATTCTTTAGAATCTTTTTCATTTCTTGGGATGTTTTTTGTAAATATCTTTTGAAGATATTTTATTTCAGGGGTATCTAAGAAAATATCTTTTGGAAGATATTTTCATTCTTGGGCAGTTTTGCAGTTAACCCTTTTTGTAGGGGTCATTGTGCAATTAACGAAAGTTATTATAAAATGTCTCGTCTGGAGCCTGGATCCTCGTACAGGATTCATTTTCACATTTCGTTGAGTCGTGGACTCTTAGAATTCCGTTCTGATCGTTTTTCTCCAGTTTCAGAGTTTCTGGATCCGGTTGCCGCCGAACTTGTTCGGGACATAACTTTTTGTTCGGGACTCAATTTTCAACGCCGTTTCTTCCGTTGTTCATATTTTCTCATTTTGAATCTTTTTTGTTCATGGAGTTTTGCCGTTTGAGCGCGTCTGCTCAAAATCCACTTTTTCAGACCCGGCGTGGCCCTTTCGGGGCACTTTTTGTGATTTTCTATAAATAGGGGGTTTGAAAAATTAAAACATAATTTTCCTCTTCTTCCCCACATGTTCTGGACCAGATCCCACAGCCTTCCATGGCTGCCATCTTCTCTCTCCTCTTTTGGTTCACTTTTCTTTGATGAAAAGTCTTCGACCTTAACGTTTAATGCTTGTCT